CCTTGGTGTTCAATTCCTCTAACAGCTTCGGTCATTATTTTGCCCCATTCTCCTGAGCTAGTTATTTTGCCTGTCAGTATACTTGCCTTGGTTCCTGTACTCATTAGTTTAGTTTTTACCTTCATGCCATTGTCCTGAATCTGTGTTCTTGATTTACAGTACATAAAACATGACAGGTTGTAGCTTTGAGTTACTGGAGTTTCACTGCGTTCTCAGCCATTCAAAGATTAATTTTGTAAATGCAAAAGTCTTGCAATTACAGTGCGTGTCCTGTGACAGCCTTTATTGTACAGCTCTCCTGAATGCAGCCTAGGCGATCTTCACCAAGCAGGATGGGGGAATCACCTGCTGATCCCTGACACACACCCAGAAGCAGTAATGACAAAGGCGGGTGCTCCGGTTCAGCTCCACCACCCTGATTCCCTTTGATTAGCTGCAAGGGACAAAAAGCACTTGATGGAACTCACCATGGCAACAGGCGTGAGAGGAGCACGGCTATACTGACCCATTACTCATCTGCGCCCTGTTGCATGTTGTCTCTGAACATGCCTTACAACAGCCCGTGGCAGCCTGGGCTGGGAATATCTCAATGAGTCTGCATTTGTTGATGAGTTACACATGTAATAAACAGTTGGTGAAAGATTTGAAGATATCGGTTTTTAACTCTCAGGGCAGCTGATCAGTTTTCCATTGTGTTTTAATCAGGCTGAAGGTTGTCTTCATTGTTTGGTATCAAGAAGTGATGCATGTTACAGTGAGCAAGAGGGTGAAGCTGTCACTCTGTGGGAAAACATGTTGTGTGCCTACAGCGTGTGCAGGCTGTTTAAAGGTTAGAGCCTCACTCTTTATGCATCAAATGGTCTACGGCTCATAATTAAAGTATCAAGCTGGTGAAACGAAACAGAACGAACTGATCCTACTCCCTGTGTCCGAAGTTACTCCTGTAGAGCTCCACTGTCCTATATTTCATAAATCGTTCATCACCAAGCGCACATAGTCCCGCAGACAGCATCCTCCTGTTCTGCCAGAGCGCCAAATGTGTATTAATCTGCATCTGAAAATAGTCCAACAGTTTCCTCAGATTTGAGTAACATTTGCAAAAGAACACAGTGACCAGCTGTTTTTTTTTTAAGTTAGAGTAATCATCTCCCAATTGGAATGTTGGTGGTTTGATTCCCGGTTTCCCCAGTCCACATGTCGAAGTGTCCTTGGGCAAGACATTTAACCCCTAGTTGCCCCTGGTGGCCAAGCAGCAACTGACATTAGTACAAAATTTCTTGGGGCGGCTGCGGCTCAGGAGGTAGAGCAGTCATCCCTTAACCGGAAGGTCGGAGGTTTGCTTCCTGTTCTCCTCCAGTTCATGTGTTGAAGTGTCCTTGGACAAGACACTGAACTCCAAGAAGCTCCCAATGGCCAGGTCAGCTTGCTTTGCAGGGACAGCGCCACCAACAGTGAGTTGAATGTGTCATCACAGAGCGCTACACGCAGAATTGGATGTGTCATCACAGAGCGCTACACGCAGGTTAAACTTTTATTAACTTTGTTGCAGCGCACAGGGATGTGGTTCTCAATCACTAATGGCACTGGTCAGGATGGAGGGTGAAAACACTAAGTGTTTAATGATCTTACACTGGCACATTTGCTGTACGCTTGTCTGATTAGAGTAATTGGCTGGTGTGGGTAGTGTTATTGATCAAAAGTGTGTGAAGTGACAGTCGTTTAAGGGAGGTTACTCTGTTAATGCATTATAATGGAACTACAGTATTTTAAAACCACATTACTTGAAATAAATGAACGGCAGTGATTTGACATCATCTTATAGATCAGACTGGAATAAAAAACCGTAGTTAAACTTTATGACTGTACAAAAGGCAGCGGTCCAGCAGCAGATCAGCAGACCAAGGAGCCAAGTCTGAACAGCTAATCAATGTACAGGCATCTCCATATTTACAGCAGTCTTTTCAAATGGCTCCTAGTCTTCTAAACATTTCCCAATCGTTGTTTCTGTTGATCAGCCAAATACTAAGTTGACCTTAATCCAGATCAGTCTCTTTCAGTTAAGTGTCTTGCATTTCAAAAATCCAATATAATGCTTCCCTTAACACCACTCACTCACAAGAACACACAGAGAGCACTGCATGCACGAAGAGCAGCTGAGTAGCATTGATCTCTTCAGTGAATCGATGAGAGCCAGAGGAAGCTGGTGACGTGTGAAGGAAGGCCTTCACTCTGTGGCCAGTCAGCCCAGGCCCTGCCAAACGATGCCCCATGACATTGATCTTGTGGAGTCTCCAGAGGCCATAGATCCATTAAGATGTCTTAATTCAGTTCATTAGACACGACTGACATTGCTGCTTTCACACACTACAGGGCACTGTCAGGCCCTGTAGTGTGGCTTCAAACAAGCCAGCAACATTTGTTATTTTGAGGATGTTTGTATGTCTTCCTCATGCTTGACTGTACATCTCACTTTTTGTCATTTATAAACAGAAAATGCACTCAGTACTTTAAGGGTATTTACAGGATATTGAATATAAAATACAGTTTATTGATCTTATATTTGTATTGAATTTATAGTGTTGAAAAACATCTCATGTACTCCCTGCAGTACTCCAGTGTACCCCTAGGGGTACTCATACCCCCATTTGAGAAGCAGTGGTTTAAACTCCCAGTATATGACGTATTTATTTCACCACAGGCTGCAACATTAAAATTTCAGTTTAAACACTCATGTATGAGTAATAATGATTTAGTGATCAAATGTACAATAATATCACACTCACACAGGCAATATTTCTGCATAATGAGTACTTTTTCATGTTTTAAATACATTGAGCTGATAATACTTGCAATTCTTCCTGCAGGATTTAAACTTTTAATAGAGTATTTATTACATTTACTTCAGTAAAAGAGCTGACTACTTCATCCACTATTGACATAGTTTACATTTTAGGGTATACATAATCCAGTCACCTAATGCCCTGACATTAATTCTTGGGGTTTGCCCTAAAATTCAGGCTGTCAACCAGTCCTGCTTTTAGACAGACCTTCCCTACAAAGTAAACAATAGTGAACAGGACTAAGGATATTTGTTTGGCCATGTATACAGCAGGTTTTACTGTAGTAGCTTGAGTTAGGTTACATGTTTGAGTTGACACATTTATATTTTTCTACATCTGTGAAACCAGATAAATTGTATAAAGATGATTCTTTCTAAATGTAACCTGGATTAGAAGTAGTTTTTGTACTAAAACTAATGAATTAACCATGTTTTTCATGGCCATCTATTTCTTCTAGCGGCATCATTGTGGGTGTTTTGATGGTTTTTGCAGACATTCGTATAAGGTGTACTTTTGTAGAATAAATCTCATCTGAGCTAGTACATAAACTTTATCTACTTTACTTTTTCTAACCACTACTTGAGCAGCAGTTACAGTGACAGAAGAGAGATGGGACAGGGAGTTAAAATACATCTGACTTTTGCTTGCACAGAGTGTATTAATTAGAACTGCGCTGTCTTCTTTGTGGTGTGAGTTCAGCGGGTACTGCTTGAACTTGCTTGCACAGAATGTATCAATTATAACTGTGCTGTCTTTTTTGCGGTGTGAGTTCAGCGGGTACTGCTTGAAAATGTTAGTGTTCGTTTCTGTCCTTTGTCTCATCTTTCCTGAGACTTTGTCCACCCATAGCGTTATTTCCAGAGACAGCCTCCCGCCGGCCTTTTTTACAGCTCACATTAACACTGCCCACTGTGTGGCTTTTTAGAAGGAAGCAGGACTGAGTGAAAAGTCATGCTGTGTGTCATGGGATCTACAGTATGCTTAGTGTTACAAGGATGAGGAGAGTTGGATCTGACTCTGACTAAAGTTGAAAAGCGCCCAGTTTATCATCTAATCAGTTTTGGACACTGGACAAATTGATGCTGTTACTTTGTTAAATCAAATACCAGGTTAACCAACCCTTCAAAACATAAGTCAATTAGAAAATGCATGTTTTTGTAAAAGTTGCATATTTAGATAAGAAGTATATGTTCTGAACCTACATAAAAAAATACAGATTGCATTTTTTTAATCCCTTTTATCAAAACAGCTATTTCTTTCTGGCTTCATTTTGTTTAATTTTAAATCAGTGGTGCTCACTTGACCTGCTTTTGTAATGCACCACCATGTTTCTATTCCTGCACAGTCGATCTACATCCACGAGTGGCGATCAGTTTGGAGCTCATGTTGTACAACTAGGCCCCATTTACAGGAGACGGTGTCAGAGAAAAACTGTTCATGATAGGTACTGAGCTACAGAGCTAAACTCACCATGCCCGCAACATTAGCGTGCTCTCTAACAAGCTTGTTACCGTGCCAAATAAAAACAAAGCACGTTTAAGATTCCACACTATATTTACTTGCAAACCCCACTGCAAGGGGTTTGCATGCTACTTAAACAGGAAATTGCTTTAGCTAATGAGCTAAAATGACAACTTTTTTTTATTTTCAGTGTTACCGCCCTTTCAGAGATCTTAGCATAGTTTTATATTAATTGATGCGGTGAATTACATGCCACAGTTTACCAAAGATAACTAAAAGCTTTGTGCAGATTTACTTATCTTTAATGAACAAATGCTGGCGTTGCAATTCCACTGGACTAAAAGGATTTGGGTGTGAACATTTAACCTGGACCATCAGCTTTCTTTGACCTGGTGGTCTTATGTTTTGAAACCCTACAGGCACAATACATGCTGTTTTACTCGAACTTGCACTTTTTAGTCCTTCCATATTTTAATCTGTCAACTTTATGAAATGTTCTGTTTCCTGTTGTGTTGATGATGCTATGTAAACTGAGCTGCCACACTGTACCAGACAGTTTGTTCCTGGTTGTACTCTATATGACGTGAAGGCGATTGAGTCAGTTGGGGAAAAAGCCTTTTAACGAAACTGTGTCCCTCTCACGTGTGAAATGCAAAATATAGAAGATTGTCGACTTAGTGTCTGTTTGTGTGTCGGCAGATGGCATGTTCGGGAGGTGTCACTCTGTCCCAGTGACGGAGGTTTACACCTACGATGTCTCGCCGTCTGTAGTGCAACGCTTCAGGATCCTGCTGGAGAAGCTCTCCAACAGAGGTATACACACACACACACACACACACACACACACACTGTTCTCATTGCCCCACATATGTGGTGTACAGTATACACAACCACGTGACACACCAGACCAGTGTCTTGACAGTCAAAGGTGGCTGACTGAAGGCTCTCTAAAATGGTGTCACATTTCAACTAGAAAATAACTTCACTAATGCAACTTAGCATGATGTTTGTTCTGCTGGCTCATCCACAAATGATCTACATGTGCTGATTTTATGCAGCTAAAATTCTGGCGCGTTTGAAATGTACAGTAGTTGATTTTCAGTCTGTGACTCTGACTCCCTGTGAGAGCCACAGAAACTTAATTTTATATGTTACAACATTGCTAGAAAAAGGAACCCCAACCTGGGCCAGGAAGATTGGTTAAAGTCCAGTAAAGACAATTGAGTCTGGTGTAAAAGGTCTTTATTCTGTAACAATCCAACCAACATGCAGCAGACAACATGACAGACTTAGTCCAATGGGAGCAACTGATTTGATCCAATAAGGGCTTCACCTTTTCTACCTTGTCCAACCACGTCTCCTCTGGATCTTATGATCCAAGTTCCACCTTCAAAAAAAACAAAAAACAAACTGAACTTGGCTTGAAAACAGTAGTGTATTTTCTTTGACTATAGGATGAGTCTGAATACAGTGGTGTCAGTGTTTGGGCAAATTTCACTTTCTCTTGACACAGTTATTTCCAGTTCCTTCAGATTGTTAAAAATAAAAGTAACTGATTTACCTTGATACAAAATAAATGATTCATACATTCAAACATACTCAGTTTTATGTGTGATTTACTTTGTAAGTGGTTAATCATAGCACAGATAAATGATTCACTCCCACACACTACTTATGAATGGTTAAACATGATTCAGATTACTCAAGTTGCATCTCACATTACATCCTCAGTGGGTGGTCCATCATGTGGGTTGCATAACTGTCACATGTTGCATTTTGTTTTTTCTCAAATTGTGAGACCGTGTGCCATGTTTGCTCCTTATCTCGCTGTTTGGCTTTTGGTCCCAGTGGAGTCACCAGGTACAGCAACCTTCAGATAGGGAGCACTACCCAAGATAAGATAACAGATAAGTCTTGGCTCTCAAAGGTCAGCAGCCTTAGTGCCATTCTTTGTGCTGCCCTCCCCGGGACCATTTCACTGGGATTTTACACAACACCTGAACAAATGGAACTGGTTTATACTAGTCTGGGAGTGGCTGAAATGTACCAGAATATTCTCAGTACACAGTAATACTATTGCTCTTGTCAAAAGCTTAGCTATCATCTATGTTTGCTGGGGTGTAAAGATAAACCAATACAAATCAGATAATCGATACAAGCATCAGCTTTACAGCTGCATCAGTTGAAAACCACCAATTCAAAGCAGATGAGTTTTACAATGGTCTAAAATTGATGTGGACCTCATAAACCAATCTTTAGCAAGTTTTCTTTTAGTTTTCAATATGCTCCACTCTACATGCACCAACCACTTTATTAGGTACACCTGTACAATTGTATGCAAATCAGTGAGTGTTGTTCCTCAGAATAAGGCAATGCTGGAGCCATATACTGCTGAAAACCCAGTGAATGTGCTTTCTACTGCCGCAGAACACTGGGGACACAGCATGCGCACATGACAATGCCTAGCAATATGGTGCTATATTGTGTGTGTGTGTGTGTGTCTGTGTAGTTGCCAGTGAATATCAAATAGCATTTTAACTTGAAATGCCCATTCCTACTTTGTAATAAACTCTGCTAGCATCTAGCTTTCTTCCATTAACCTTATCAGTCAATTTCACATAGTCCCACAAACAGTCTTGCTGCCTCTGGTGTAGATCTCGTATTCTCAGGCCACGTCTTTCTCAGCATAGAAGGGATGTTTGGTTTCCAAGTGCTTCTTCAGCTTGCTTGGCACTGCATTAGCATTAGCTAACTTCTCCTGTCAGAGGAGGCATTTGGGCTGAGGGCTCTTGATATTCATGGTCAAGCTATAGCCATAAGACTCGTACTATAGCTTTCATGGTACTGTCTACTGATTGCTCTGTTCTTGTGGTGGTTCTCTTAGGCTGTAGAACCTGCCTCTGAAATGGGAAACAAGTGCATACAAAGTACTGATATAGTAAATTAAAAATTCATTTATAACTTTTTATATTGTTGTATACTGCAATACTGTTGTTATCACAAAATCCCATGGCACACCATTTGGTAACTACAGTTCAAGAACTGATAAACACTATCACTGAGCATTATCAGCAAGTGAACATGTAGTAAATGGACTGTATTTTATATAGCGCTTTCTCACAGTGTGTTGCACTGGCCAAAGCACTTTACAGAAGATCATACACCATTCACCCATTCACACACCGATGACGACAGGCTGCCACACACCGGCGCTAGTCAAGCCACCGGGAGCAATTCGGGGTTCAGTGTCTTGCTCAGGGACACTTAGGCATGCGGGGAGACTGGGAGTCAAACCACCAACTTGCTGGTCAGGAGACGACTGCCCTACCTCATGAGCCACAGCCACCACCTAGTAACAGAACCTGGTGTTCAGATTCAGACCACACTGACGTGTGCAACAAGGATTTCAGCGAGGCCATGAACTCCTAACTCCTCCCTTTTCTCTCACACACAGCCGCTCCACTTTGTCCATATAATTCCTTGCTCCCTCCCCTTCACACTTGTAGTTTGAAGTTGGGTGTAACCAACATGTGGTGAAGTGCACGAGCTGACAGGATCCATTTGCTGCAGAAACACGTTGAGATCAGAGCTCAAACTAATTTCACTTGTCAGAAAGTAAAACTTAGACAGTCATTGCCACAGGGAGGTGAAATGACGCAGGAAGGAGTTCAGCTGAACCAGGGTACAGTTTCATGTTCCATCTGCCTGGATCTACTGAAGGATCCGGTGACTATTCCCTGTGGACATAACTACTGCATCAGCTGCATAAAATCCGACTGGGATGAGAGGAGGATCCCCAGCTGCCCTCAGTGTCGGCAGGTCTTCATACCGAGGCCTGTCCTGGTGAAAAACACCTTGTTAGCAGTTTTAGTGGAGGAGCTGAAGAAGACTGGACTCCAAGGTGCTGCTGCTGCTGGAGCTGAAGATGTGGCCTGTGATGTCTGCACTGGGAGGAAACTGAAAGCCCTCAAGTCCTGTCTGGTGTGTCTGGCCTCTTACTGTGAGCAACACCTGCAGCCTCATTTCAGTGTAGAGCACATGAAAAATCACAAGCTGGTGGAGCCCTCCAAGAAGCTCCAGGAGAACATGTGCCCTCGTCATGATGAGGTGATGAAGATGTTCTGCCGCACTGATCAGCAGTGTATCTGTTATGTCTGTGCCGTGGATGAACATAAAGGCCACGACACAGTCTCAACTGCAGTAGAAAGAACTGAGAGGCAGAGAGAGCTCGAGGGGAGTCGACAACGAATCCAACACAGAATCCCGGACAGAGAGAAAGATGTG